AGATCTGAATGCTCAGATGATGTCATTTCTCTCTCTCTCTTTGCTTCTGTCTCTTTTATTTTTATTTTTTGGGGGGAGGGGAGGTAGTTTGGTTTACCTATTTATTTATTTTTAGAGAAGGTGCTGGGGATTAAACCTAGGACCTTGTGCATGCTAAGCATGAGCTCTGCCACTTGAGCTATACCCTCCCCCCTACTTATGTCTCTTTTTGTATGTCTTTTTTCCTTTCTCTGATTTCTCTGCTTCAATTTCCATAAACCTCAGGATAGACTCTGATTGGCCCAGCTTGGGTTATGTGTGTATATCTTGGACCACTCACTGAGGTCAGAGATGAGTGCTATGATTGGCTAGGCCTGAGTCACATGACTATGCATGGCCAGAGGGTCCTGTTCTGTGCTGATGCCACACCAACTTCTTATAATTGGCACAGGAAAAGAGCAGGTCTGTAGAAGACTTTCCCAACGGGAAGGGATGTGAGAGTTGCTGAAAGAGCGGTGGAAGGAGTGCTGGATAGATGTTCAGCACACGTCCTGCCCAGGAGGAGCATCGCACAAAGTGAAGACTGAATAACTGACTCACACGTGGTTAGAACTAGATACCTCCAGTTGATGGTAAGAGCTGGAGTTCGGAGCAGCAGGGCTTCCTGAGAGCCAGCTGGGATGTGTGTCTTCCTTAAATCCAGCCTCTCTGTCACCCAAGGTTTACCTTTATGCGGTCTGGTGGAACTTCAAGTGCGACTGGCAGAAGTGGGCAGGGGGCGCATTCTAAGAGGGGAAACTGCATGGACCTAGGAAGTGCTCACCGATCAGTGTGGCCAGAGGAAGAGACTGAGTGAGGAGTTGGGGGATAACTTGGAGAGATGGACCTGATCCCAAGGTTTGCGACGCAAATTCAGCTATGGGAAAGCAAGTCTGAGGTAAAAGACTTCAAATAGCAATTGTTTCACTTTACATCTGTTTTGTATTTCACTTGTTTTGGTAGACCCCAAACCGCTTTTTGATTTCCCATCATACGAACAAATAGCATAATTCTTCGGCTGTTTTTCAGGCTCTTTCCAAGTGGATAAATCACTTCTGTTTTTTTCAGGCCTGGGTTTGAATTAGGGTGACTTGTTTGTTTTTCAAAATCTGTTGTTCAAAGCTGATGGTTTCTTCTTTTGGTGCATATTATAGACTGGTCATTGGATTTCTACTAATTCACACCCTGGCATTGTAAACACCCTTTCACTTCTGCTTCTCGGGCCTTCCTCTGATTTACCTACTTGGCAAACTCCTGCTCATCCTGCAATATAGATCAAATTTCCTTGAGGAGGGAGCAGACTATGCCTAACTTCTCTCGCACCTGGAAGTCGGCACAGGGATCAGTGAACTCATGCAGTTGTGAGAGGATTCATGTCTGTCCAGCCTAAGGATGGCACGGAGGTTTAGTATCACTTATGAGTGCATTTGAATGCAAGTATCAGACAGATATCCAATGAGTGGTGAGTTAAACAACTAGACATTTACTTTTCTCACATATCGAGAAGTCTGAAAACTTTCAGCTGTGGCACTGGTTCAGGGGTTTAAAGAAGCTGTTGAGGACGTAGTCTTAAGATCAGCTGTGCACACCAGGTACAAAGGGAGGAGGAACGAGACGCATGCATCTCATCAGCCACTCCTGGCTGCAAGGGGCATTGAGTTTCTTACCTGGGACTGGGGCAGGTTAGTGCCTGGGCAATTTCTTGCTTCTGTTAAAGAGGAAGAATGAGGGGATGGCTACTAGCTAGGCAACCAGTGGCACCCACCACATATGTCATCTTATATTCCAAGGTTAATAGGTTCAAGGTGAGGCTCTGTGTTTGGTATTGTGAAGGCTGTCCAAGCTCAGCAAAGGCACTTCGACTGATTATTAAGGGCAGCCATGAGTGTGGCACGGAGCATACAGCTTCCTTAATGTGTATTTGCCGTCTCTGGTACAGCCCATAGATTGATCTGCGTGCTGGATCATCTGTTTTCCCCCTCTATCCTCACCTCACCTGCTCTGTGTGCCAGAAGGCAGACCCCAATGGACTGGACCAACAGATCCCCTTGCCCTGTGACTTCTGCTCGGGTCTGGCCATTGGGAGGCAGTGGGAGGAGGACAGAGGACGGGAGGAGAATGATGTCGGGACATTTGTTCCCCCGATTCTCTCCCTGCTGGATTGCCACATCTCCTTTCAGGCAGCCCACTCTGTACCTCTGTCCTTTACAGACTCCAGTAACTGCCCCATTCCTTACCCCATCAGGTCAAGCTCCCTATATGCTCCCTTCTCTTCCCCAAGCCCGGCCTACACCTTTGTAAACATCCTTTTAACACATTGCCCTTCAATTACCTGGTTTAAGTGTTCTGCCCCTTTTTTCAAGGATCCAGACTGAGGCAGTCTGTAATGCTTTGGGGGGTTGTTCTGGGGAGAGTTACTGATGGAGATCTTTGTCGTCTCCCTTTCTCAAAGTCCAAGGCAGTGTGCTGCCTACACTCCACAGGACATCAGCTTGCATGGGATGTGCTTGGATGTCTGTTTTTTAGTTCATTTTTTTAATTGATCAGCCCCCAGGGGTAATGATGGTGCCGCTACACTGTAAGTACATCCAGCTGTGAGGTGCTCCAGGCGAGAGCTTTCAGGAATCAGCAGGAGGGAACTGATGTCTCTCCTGGTTCTCTCCAGATTGCACTGTGGCAGGCCAGTGAGGGCTGTCATTTCTGCGTGACGTTGGTTAGAAGTGGCTGTGCACCAGGTGGCCTGGAAGGACCAGCGCACCACTACTGAGGGACCACGTGACCGCAATCCTGTTGCTGCCTCTCTCTTCCTGCTCCTCAAGGGCTTGGAGTCTACACTCTGAAAACAGGCTCTGTGGTGGGTCAGATCCCACTCCCCACCCCCCACCCCCCAGTGTGCCGGAGGAGGCTGGGGAAGAGCCCTTCAAAGCATTCAGAGCAGAATTTCGTAAACTTGAATGCAACAGGTGAGTCACCTGAGGATGGTGTTAAAGTGCAGATTCTGATTCAACGGGTTTGGGGTAGGGGTTAGAGATTCTGCATTTCTAGTGAGCAAACTGGGGATGCTGCTGTTACTGATCTAGGGAACACACTTGAGTAGTGAGGACTTACAGGTGAGCATCCTGTGTGGTAGCCCCTAGCCACATGGGGCTAGTTGCATTTATTGTCTTTCCTTTGGTTTTTATCTCATAATCTTATCAACCCATCAGAATGCTGAATCTCTAGCGACAGAAACCCAACTCAAAAGGTTTTTTGCTTAAGTCAAAAAGAGAAATATGTTGGTTTTGATGAAACTGAAAAGATATGGAGCTGGCCTTAGGAGTGGCAGGATCCAGGGATTCAAACGATGTCACCATTGTCGTCACCACCACCACCACCATCTCTTTCTCCTTTCATTGCTCCTCTGCCTCTTTTCTTGATTGTTTTGGCCTCATTCTTTCTACCTACAGACTGGCTTCCTCTGTCCGGCAGCAGATCTGGATGCTGGCGGCTCCAAGCTAATATCACACTTGTCATCTCAATGGAAAAAGGGAGCCTTCTCCCAGCATCGGAGTGCTCCTGCATCACACAGCATGTGGCTCTGTGATTAGGGGGCTGGAGTGCCTCGGCCATCCTGTGTGTGTGTGGGGGGATGGGTCACAGTGATGGGCAGCCTCCCCAGAATCAGGTGAACAGAAGGGGAGACAAGTGAACCCTAAAGGAAGAGATGGTAGTGCAACGAGGTATGGGGCAGACACCACCAGCAGATGCTCACGCCACTCCACAGCTCTTCCACCTCACTAAGAATCTGGCCCAGCTATTTCCTTTAAGCAGCTCTCTCTGAGTTTTTGCCCCACTTTAATCATTAACACTGGAGAAGATACAGCTTGACATATTTTGCGGGGTGCTTAAAAGGCCACAACCGTCTTCCCTGTGTATTTCCATTTCAAACAATTAGCCAGGCTTCCTTCCTGGGGCAGAGATTAAAATAAAAAGACGAAAGTTCCTTTAGTTTCTTCAGGCATCTCATACTGCTTTGCTGGGAGAATTTACATAAATTGCTTGAGAGTGGCAAGGGGAAAGGGCAAGGGTGGGAATTAACAGGAGAAGGCAGGTGCCTGCCAAGAGGCCGGGATGGTCTGAAGTCCATTACTGGGCTGGAAGGACAGGACAGCACGGGGAGATGAGGTCTGTGGATGGTCCAGTGCTTGGAGTGCAGACAGGAAAGGCAGTGCAGGCAGGGATCAGGAAATGAGCCAGCTACAGCCATTTGTCACTTTTTTGAGGAAAAAGAAAAGTGTAGGTTGAATTTCTGGTTTTTTCGAGGGGAGGTGGTATGGGAGGGTTTGGAGGTCAAGAGGTAGATAAACTGGCCGAAAGTCTATCAGTCCCTGTAAAAAATGAAACATCGAGACCAGAGATTCCCAAAGCTGGATTCCCAAACCAGCAGCATCAGCCCCACCTGGGAGCAATGTACATTCTCTGGTCCACCCAGATTTAGTCGGAAACTTTAACCAGCCTTCCAGGTGATTCTGCTGTCTGCTCAAGTTTGAAAGGTGCTGGTCTAGATGAATCACCTTGAGCAGTGAGAGGCTCTTTAAACCTCTTCTGGGCAGAGACACAAAAGCCAGCCTTCTGGGAGAAACGGCAGAGTCCCAGTCCCCAGCAGCCCAGGAGGCAAGTGACTTACCTGAGGACACCTGAGAGCCAGCGGAGGTGCTGGGCGTGGCCTGCAGGTCTCACCCCAACACCCGCGCTCGTGCTCTTTGCAGTATTTTATGAATCTGTGAATGGCGGGTCTGTCCCCTACTGCTCGGTGTCAGAGATGTGATGAAGATTCCCACATCAACATTCCCTACCCGTTTTTACCTGTGCTGTTGGGCCTCACCAGGATGGAAATGAGAAATGTGATCATAATGCATTTGCAACAGGGGTGCGTGAGTTGGAACCCCCCCCTGTTAAGCCCTTGGGAGCGAGGCAGCAATGAAGAACCAGGAGCAGAGGAAAAGGTTATAAAAATGTTTAGTTTTTGCTTTATTGAGTTACAACAAGTGAGCAACAAGTTAGAAAAATTGGTTTGTTTTTCAAACTCCCTATCATTTTATTTGTGCAGTGTACTCAAATGGGGGGTGGTAGGTGGTGGTGGAGGGGGAAGGGACTGCAAACACAATTCATATTGCAACATTTACACCAGATATGTCTCTTGGTTTTTCTTCTTTAGAAGTTAGGACTAACTGAGGAAAAAAAAAAAGTGCACTCAGGAATCTAAAATTGGCCCAAAACAAACACACACACAAACAAAAAAAATCAATTCATGGTGAAGCTTCAAGCTGAACTCTTATCAAATACCACACTGAGAAAAGGCAGGAACAGAAATGAAAACCAAAGCTGTTCATCTTTGTACCATCTAGATAGGACGATCTCTTTTTGTTTTAATTTCACAAAAGTAATGATAATGCTAACACATTTGGGAGCCCCCCTTTCTGCTGGTCACTGCAAAGGTGCTTAGAGGTCGCTGCCTGCCACCCAGCTCTCCCAGGGCCAGCATGGCCCAAGGTCTGACCTCAGGGGCCAGGCCAGCGGGAAAACCAGAGTGGCCTGGTGGCAGTTCAGAAAGCCCTGTGCGTAGCTAAACAGGGACCCCAAAGGCACCTTGGGGAGAACTGGAAATGGATTTGATTTGGAAGCTCTGCCCTCTGTAAACCCCTCTCTGAGTTAAGACAGATGCCTGAATCCCAGCCCTTAACCCTGAAGAAATCTCCCAAATTTCAAACTACCTTTAAAAATGAACTCTCCCTACCTAAAATCCAGTAGATATCATGGCACTAAGCTAACATCACCCTCTCCCCCCAAATTAATAAAAATAAAAAAGAGGGGCGGAAAAAAAAAGCACATGTGATCAGCCCTCCCTCCTGGAAAAAGCCTTATAATGGTAGTGCTGGAAAAGGAAGTTGCCCTCGATTAAAAAGGTAACAAAATCCCCACATTGTACAAATCGGTTCCAGTACAGCAAGAGGTGGGGGCCTGGGCAGAGGCGCAAACTATTTACAAGGACCCTTGGAAAACGCAGTAGTAGGACTTTGGCACTATGAACAATTCCCACCGGGCCTCGGGGAGGTGCGTGCGTGTGCAAGCAGCTGGGGTTCCCGTCACTGCAGGCGCACGCGGGCTGAGTCCGCTTGGAGTCTCTGGCCAGGGTGGCCCACAGCCGGGGAGGGAAGTTCTCTTCTTTCTTCAAAGACAGAGCGTCCCTTTCATCAGCACAGCAGTTCTGACGGGCTTCCCTAGAAGGACAACACAAAACCAGAGACAAGATGTCAGGGAGCTGACCATCATTCCCTGGGTGGAAGGCATCCGGGGTTGCCGCTCGCTGGCTCTCCCGGGGGCTCGGAGGAGAGACGAACGCCCTGCAAGTGTGGGGCCTGTTTTAAAGAAATGAATGTATTTCCAGAGTGCAGTCTGACAGTATGAGCAGTGCCTAAACCAAGACAACTTTCTGGGCAAGTGGAGGAGGGGATCCGTCATTACAAGATACTTGTCTTATTCCTGGACAGGCAGCCAGTCACAGTGGTTCCTAAGAGGCCCCCAAAACAGACAAACCTGGATTCGGGTCCTGACTGCACTATTTACTGGCCGTGGCGTCATACACACATCACTTAATCTCACTAGGGCTTAGTTTTTGCTTCTGTAAAACAGATGGTAACAGCATCCACCTGGTGAAGTCGCTGGGCTGAGAAGCCGATCTATGCATCAGCGTTTAAAATAGTGCCCGGCATGTGGTAAGTACTATATGTGCTTTTGTTGTATTTATCAGATGGAGCCTTTTCCAAACATGATAGGATATATGATGGGAATCATAATAAGATGAGAAGTTTTAAGTGCATTTTTAATTTAGTGTTTCTGTCCTCAGAAGTGTAGATATAATTGTTCCCATTTTACAGGTGAAGAAACTGAGCACAGAGAGGTCAAAAAACTTGCTCAAGATCACACAGCTACAAAGTAGCAGAGCCAAAATTCCAAACCAGGCAACTTCTAGAATCTGTGCTCTTAACAGTGTTTCTTAAGAGCCAGCATGGAGAAGTGTTTAATTTTTATGTGCTTTGAAGTAGTGAAAATGATCCAAAGACCTTGTTATGGGTTGAAATGTGTCTTCCCCAGCCCCAAAAGATATGTTGAAACTCTCAGAATGTAACCCTATTTGGAATTCCTTTACAGAGATTATCAAGTTCAAATGAGGTCATTAGGGTGGGACCTAATCCCATATGACTGATGTCCTTATAAACAGGGGAAATTTGGACACAGAGACAGACACATGCAGGGAGAACACCATGGGAAGATGAAGGCAATGGATCTAAGAGTCAGGGAACACAGAGTTGTCAGCAAACCACCAGAAGCTAGGAGAGAGGCAAACGGACCCCCCACACCCCAAACCCTCAGAAGGAACCCACCCTGCCGACACTAGACTTCCAGCCTCCAGACAGCGGGAGAATAAATTCCTGCTGTGTAAGCCACCCAGTTTGTGGTACTCTGTGGCAGCCTTAGGAAACTGACAGACCTCCGTTTCCTTTGTGGGCTCCCAGGATCCAAGGATCCTGAGCAAGGAATCCAAGGGGAGGGCTCAGGGCTGTAAAGGACACAGCTAATATTCCATGACAGGCTGGAAGTTTATCAAATCTGTTTATTCCTGAAGCCACTGGCTTTTTCTTTGCCTCCCTGCTGGAAAGGTTGTGTTACTGCTTGGCCACTTCTCTGACCGAGAAAACAGCTAAAGGAGGCCCTGAGCAGATTTTTTTAGTTTCTGTTTTGTGTGTGTGTGCGTGCAGGGAACCAAGAGCAAGAAGACTAAACTTCTCAGCCAAAGGCATCATCAGATCATCTATATTGTCATTCACTCCCAAAGTCTGAGTGTTAAATGTACCCACGTTCCCTGGATGCTCCCGACAATAAGGCTGAATACTGGATGTAAGAAACCAACTTGTAGAAGAAATCTCTGTGGGTGAAATCTGATTCCAGGGGTGTCCTTGGGATCTGGTACCACCCAAAAGTCATCCAGCCAAAGTCACTGAACTGTTAAGAGCTACAGCATCCTTACAGGTGATGCTGCCAACATCACTCATTTCTTAAGGGAAAATAAAGCAGCTCAGGGAGGAAAAATGATTTCCTCAAGTCACATGACTGCTCAGAGGCAGAGTCAAAAACAATAATAATCCTGGTTGTGACAACAGTGAGAGGAGCTGAAATGTATCTCATGCTTCTTACGAGCCGGGCCCAGGGCTAAGTGCTAACGTGGACCACCTCATTTACTCCTTACGGTGACCTGCGAGGCAGGCGACTGTCAGACCCACTCTGCAGTGAAGAGGCGGGGCACAGTGAGATGAAATGACGTCAGCCAAGTAGTAAGTGGTAGAACCTGGAATCAGCTGCGGCTGATCCAACTTTAATTGCTCTTCCCCACACCTGCCCCAAATATAGTCTCCTTGCCCAGCATGCACATCTCGCCCTGCACAGAGCTGCCTGGGGACAGGAGGGAGCAGGTCTGCTTCAAAGACAGGGGCTGGCGGTCCCAGGCACTTGGAGAGGGCCACGTGCCTCATCGCCGATCCCCTGTGGACCCATATGCATCCCAGGACGGGCACACGTACCACAGCCAGCCTCCTGCTGTGCTCCCCGAAGAACACGGTTTCCCCCAGCAAACTGGGTCTTTCAACGCCTTTGGAAAGGAGGCTGCCTCTGGTTGGATGTCCATCCGAAAAATTCTCAAGGCTCCAGGAAACACAGCCCAAGGTGGGTAAAGAGTGGCTGTTTCTTCCTCCCAACCAGACTGAAGAATGCCAGGTCAGCACAGGACTATGGGTCCTGGCCTTGGAGCAGAGTGGAAAGAGGTGTGGTGTCAGAGAAAGCAGGGTCCAGGGTCAGCTGCTTCTGAGCTGTTGTGCTGAGGTCAGTTCCTTAACCTCCCCAAGCCTCACTTTGATAATTCATAACCACTGGGCTGCTGGGAGGGTAACAGAGTTGGTGTGTAAAGCATACAGCTGCTACAGAAGTCCTGCTTCATTTTCTCTGGAGGAAAGCTGGATGCAAAATTAGGATCTTAGGTGTAAGTGAGCTCACCTGCATGTGTGAGTATTTACATATTCTCTCTTATATTATACACAAAACTGAACCCTCTTTCTTTAAGACATTGGCAAAAACTCGCTTTTTAAGATAAGCCTCAATATTAAGGTGGTTTTCCGTCTGGCAGTGTTTTTTTCTTTCCATTGATCTATAGTTGATTTGTAATATTGTGTTAGTTTCAGGTGTACAGCAAAATGATTTAGTTATAATTTTTTCAGATTATTTTCCATTATAGGTTATTACAATATATTGAATATAGTTTCCTGTGCTATACAGTAAATCCCTGTTATTTACCTATTTTACAAATGGTAGTTTGTATCTGTTAATCCCACACTCCTAACTTATCCCTCCCCACTCCCTTTCCCCTCTGGTAATCATAAGTTTTTCTGTCAGTGAATCTGTTTCTGCTTTGTATTTATTTGTATGATTTTTTTGACTCCACATATAAGTGATACCCTATAATATTTATCTTTCTCTGACTTACTCCACTAAATATGATCATCTCTAGGTCCATCCATGTTGCTGCAAATGGTAATAGTTCGTTTTTTAACGGCTGAGTAATATTCCACTATATACATATACATGTATATGTACACATATATATATGCCACATTTTCTTAGGCCAATCATCTGTTGATGGGCAGGTGGGTTATTTCCATATCTCAGCTATTGTAAATAATGCTGCTATGACCATTGGGGTGCATGTATCTTTTTGAATTACACTTTTCATCTTTTCTAGATATATGCCCAGGAGTAGAATTGCTGGATCAGATGGTAGCTCTAGTTTTACTTTTTTAGGGAACCTCCATACTGCTTTCCATAGTGGCTGCACCAATTTACATTCCCACCAACAGCGAAGGAGGGTTCCCTTTTCTCCACACCTTCTCCAGCATTTATTATTTGTAGACTTTTTGATGATGGCCATTCTGACGGGTGTGAAGTGATACCTCATTGTGGTTTGATTTGCATTTCTTTAATAATTAGTGATGTTAAGCATCTTTTCATGTGTCTGTTGGCCATCTTTTTTTGAGAAATGTCTATTTAGGTCTTCTGCCCATGTTTTGATTGGGTTGTTTGTTTTCTTGATATTGAGTTGTATGAGTTTGGGTATTAACCCCTTGTTAGTTGCATCACTTGAAAATATTTTTTCCCATTCAGGAGGAAGTCTTTTCATTTTGTTGATGGTTTCTTTTGCTTTGCAAGAGCTTTTAAGCTTGATTAGGTCCCATTTGTTTATTTTTGCTTTTATTTCTTTTGCCTTGGGAGACTGATCTAAGAAAATACTGCTATGACTTATGTCTGAGAATGTTTTGCCTATGTTCTCTTCTAGGAGTTTTATGGTGTCATGGCTTATATTTAGATTTTTAAACAATTTTGAGTTTATTTTGCAGATGGTGTTAGGGAGTGTTCTAATTTCACTGATTTACATGAGGCTGTCTAGCTTTCCCAGTACAACTTGCTGAAGAGACTGTCTTTTCCCCTTTGCATATTCTTGTCTCCTTTGTCATAGATTAATTGACTGTAGGTGTGTGGGTTTATTTCTGGGCTCTCTATTCTGTTCCATTGATCTGTGAGTGTTTTTGTGTCAATACCATGCTATTTTGATTACTATAGCTTTGTAGTGTAGTCTGAAGTCTGGAAGGGTTATGCTTTCATCTTTGTTCTTTTTCCTCAGGGTTGCTTTGGAAATTCTGAGTCTTTTGTGGTTCCATATAAATTTTAGGATTATTTGTTCGAGTTCTGGGTATTCTGATACAGATCACATTAAATCTGTAGATTGCTTTGGGTGGTATGGCCATTTTAACAATATTGGGATTCTTCCAATTCAAGAGCATGGGCTATCTTTCCATTTCTTTGAATCATCTTCAATTTCTTTTACGGCAACATGTTTTTCCCTATCTTATGGGCATGAGCATGTATAATTCTCCAACCATATGTATTAGTAAAGAAAACAAAATGCTGAACCAGGCCCTTTAAACAACAACAACAACAAAAAGAAACCAGACTGCAAGGCCAAAGGGTGACCTGGAGAAGGGGAGACAGAGCCACTTGTCTTTGGCTTTGCAATGATCCCAGATGTCTGTGGATGGCTCTGGGCCCTGGAAGCACCCTGGGAATTGCTGGACTTCAGTTCTCCTTCAGCCTCTCCCAGGCTGCTTAGCTGTGGGCA